GTCTTTTCATAGTTTCATTGAATTGAAAATCTTTTTTTCTACTATCAAATACTGAGAGTACCGACATTGAATGTGAATGAATAAATAAATGAATGATTTTGTTCATCATCATCGTTTATTTCATCGAATTTCATTTTTTTTCTGCTTTTTTTTAAATTTTTTTCTCGAACAACTAATTCATCTTGTGTTTATGTGTGTGTGTGTGTCAAATTGTAGAAGAAATGTGTATTCCATTTGAGTATGAGAATCATCATCATCGTGGTCGTTGTCGTCGTCGTCGTAGTCGACTTTTGATCATTTATTCGTGTGGTCAAAAGTCAATTTGTTTCTACGATATGTATCCCCACACTGTTCCCTTCATACACACGCTTATAAACAGATTGGATAAATTTCAAATCAATTTTTTTTCTGTTAAAGACAAGTAGCCTACTCTTATTCTTTTTCTTTCTGATCGATATATATTTGTGTGTGTGAGAAAATCATCAAAAAAAGTAATATAGAAAAAACAACAACAACAACAACCACCAAAGATTAAATCCAATTTCAAGCAAAACATTTTGGATTGATGATTATTGGTCAATTGAAAATGATCAATCATCTTCATCATCATCATTTTGAAGCATCACGAAAAAAAGAAAAGAATGATGAGGGGGTAACAAAAAAAAGGTCAAATACACTAACATGGTAACTGGATAAGTGATTTGATCAGCTCATCATTATCTTCATTGGTTTCATTATAATTATCAATTGATCTAGATCCATATTGGGCATGACATTTAATTATGTTTTCACTCAAAATAAATTTTAAAAAATTCAAATAATATTCTATATTCATAGATGGAATAATCAATGAATGAATGGGATGAAAAAAAAGTTTATCATCTTTGATTATTGATGATCAACAAATTTTCTTTGCCGATTCTGTTCATTATGATCGATAATCGATGATTTTGTAATCAGAAAAAATGATGATGGTTTTGTTCTACGTCCAGAATTCTATCATTGATTTTATAATAATAATCATCATCATCAGACTATTTTCAATGGAATTTTTTTTTTTTTTTTTCGAATCCATTTAAATGATTTCAAAAGCTTAAACACACACTGATGAATAGTTGATTGGTTGATTTTATTTTCTTTTCTGATAGTAGTTAATGATGATTTTAGCCAACAACATTAGCAACAAGAAAAAAAAACACAATAAATAATTAGGCGCCCATGAATTGAATCGAACAATTTTAGCGTGAATCAAATCGAATCGAATTAAATCACCATTTTTATCAGTTTTTTTCGTGTTTTCACAAAAACTTTTTTTTCTGACAAAATAAAAAGTTCACTATCTTGATGTTGTCATCATGATCATCATCATCAACATCAATGTTGATTACCAATTGTTTGATTGTTTTTCTCTGTTTTTTTTTTGATCCGTTAAATCTTGATATCCCCTTTAAGCATGATGATGATAATGATTGTAATGACAAATAAAATTCTTATCAAAAATGTGATCAGATTTGTTTATCAATTTTGTTTACATGTTTGTTTTTATTTTTATTTATAACGAAAAAAAAATCAATTCAAATCAAATTGAATTCATTCATTAATTTAGCAAAAAAAACAAAAATCATTAAACAGCTGAACATCTCATCAACGAAATGATTGGACGACAATCGATAATTAAGGTTACAATACATTTGGATTTAGTATGGACATGTCCGGAATTTCAGTGGTTAAGAAACACTGATTGATATAATCCAAATTTCAAAACAAACAAACGAACAAAACCGATTAAGATCAATAAATCTTGAACAAAAAAAAAAGAAAAAGAAACTCAACGATATAAATCAATTAAATGGAATTCGATTTGAAATTTGATTTCCATTTGTAGAAATCAAAACATATTTAGATTTGCCTAACCATTCATTCTGGAATTCATCATTTCATCAACTACATATTACAAAAACAAAATGTTTCTGATAATGATGGGTTTCTGAATGACGATGATTTCATGTATTTTTATTTTTATTTTTTGTAAGATGAATAAATGAATAATGAATTCTATTTGGAATTGAATGAATGATTTTTTTTTTTTTTTTTTTTGATAAAAAAAAAACAAACAAATCATTATCTCATTATTTAATCATAGAAATTTTCAAAGTCAAGAATGAATTATGATTAAATGATGTTTTGTAGCCAGTATATAATTTGTGTGAAAACTTGAATGAATTAACAACTAGAGATCCGATAGAAAAAAAAATCATTTAGAAACAGATTTTCCACCGAATGTAATGGTAAAAAGAGAAAAAAAAATATTTTTCTGACGAATAATGTACGATAAGGTAAGGTGTGTGTGTGTGTATGTGAATTTGTAATCATCCGATAGTGAGATGTTGAGATAAACATTATTAGATTATGTTTAATTTCAAATTTTTTTTTTTCGATTACGCCCTGAAAAAAAAATTCATGCAATTTTTTTTTCATTCAAAAAAAGCCATACTTTCTCAATATATACACAGGTGACAAAAAAAATTGCATACTGTATAATGGAAAATGTGAATTAGGAAAAACGAAACAAAAAAAATGAAAGTACAGTATTTTTTTTTTGGGATGGTAAAACTTGAAACAAAGATGAAACAAACAAACAAACAAAGAAAATTCAAAGAAATTTAAATTGAAATTGAAAATTGTTTTTCATTTAAAATATACGGATGATTATTATGTCATTAAATAGACTATGATTATGGTGTATGATGATGATCATCAAAACGCCTACGCATTTCTATAGAAAAGAAAATCAGAACAAAACCGTTGATCATTGATTGACATGAAAACAATTCAATTAACAACAACAGCAATAAACAAATGTATTCTATTCTAAATTTAAAATTCTAAATTCAAAAAGAAAGTATTTCATCAATTTTGTTTTCATTTTCAGATTTTAATGCTCGATATATGATTATAATCGATGTAGGCGACATTTTTTTTCATTCATTCATTCAAAAAAAACAGAATGAATTTGTGATCATCTTCATCACATTATCAACTAGGTGTGTGTGTGTGTGCGTGTGAAACTAGGTAACATGGCACATCATCTGTAATTTTTTCCCAGAAAATTTTATTTAAAATTTGTCAATTTGTCGTATCTAGGTGTCAAGGTTAATACACACACACACACACAATGGTGATGATGAAATAATTATTATCATCATTGTTCTAGACTGATGCACACATTTTATCACTGTACCATTTCTGTAACAATAAACAAAAATGATGATAATGATAATGATGATGATGATGATGACATTTTGGAATTATGAAACATGAATGAACTTGAATTGTGTGATCTTTTGATATAGTTTTGTCATTCATATAACATGAGAACATGGAACAATTAATTCGGATGATGACAATGATGGTGTATGCTATAGAGCAGCATTCAAATTCAAAAGTTAAATTTTTTTTGTTGTTGTTGTTGTTGTTATTTGCTCCACAATCAATTTATTTTTTTCATTTTTTTTTCTAACAATGTATAATGTTATGTCAAATGTCATCAATTATCAATGAACAGAATTTTTTTTTTTTTTTTTTTTTTGATTGACAAATACATTCGATTACAGACGTATGTAATAATTACCGCCCACACACACACACACACACACATACACAGAGAAAGAAAATATTTGAATTTTGAAAAAAAAATTCATATTTGGTTATCCAAATAGGTAGGCTGCATAAATGAATGAATGTCACACACACACACACACACATGCAATTTTTGCAATGTGCACAAATATCATCGCCCTTTTTTTCTCTATGAATTTCCAATGTTTGATTGTGTTCTATGTTGGATTGAATAATTTTTTTTCTTTTGATCACTTAAATGTCACATCATAATCGTATAATTAGATCAAATCAATTTTAGGAACCAAAATTTGGCGCCATATACATATATATGAAACCACTAATCAATGAATGAATGAATGAATGATGTTAAATCAATAAGGTGCCTTTCTTGACTTATTCTATGGATTGTTTTTTTCTTTCTCTCCAAACAAACTATCGTGTGTGTGCGTGTGTGTCATATTGGATAATAATATAAAATAATGGGTGGAGCCAATCTTTCGTTCATAGTGTACGTTTATTTATATGACATTATGGATGGGCTAGAAAATGGGGAGGGGCCGACAATAACTACAACGACCAATAAAAGCATCAATCGATGAATCACGCACACATATACACAGAATTTGAACAAAAAAGGCACGCGCAAATGTAAAATTTACTGTTGTTTTTGTTGTTTATCTTATACAACTAACAACAAATCATCAATGCATATTGAACGAAAAAAAAATAGAATGAAAAACTAAAAATATAAAAAAAAAAAGGTGAAAAAAATTGAAACAGAACAATTAGGCTCCACCTTTCAAACACAAAATAATATTTGTAGTGATTGAATGAGAAAAAAAAGACACTTGAATAGAGAGAATGAAAAAGGTAATGTGAGAGAGAAAAAAGTGCCGCCACCACCACCACCACCACCACCACCATCAACCATCATCATCATATCATACCATACACCATAACACATGATCTTTATGAATCGTAACAACCACCGCAACCACTACTCATTGTGAACATTATTATTTAGTGTTTTTTTTTCTATTATTTTTGCCGATGTTCAATAGTGTTTATCATCATCAACAACGTTGTAAAGAAAAAAAAAAAAAAGATCAAGCAAATTTCTAATACAGATTTTTGGTGGCCGCCACACACACACACACAGAACACTTTGAGAACTAGTCCATGTTGGACGACGATTACGACGACGTATATCGATCGATCTTTTTTGTGTTTATGTGTCGTGTAATATGGATGAGCTATACAGTTTTGTTTTTGGCTTTTGATTGATTCTTGATTTAGTTTTATTTGATTTCATCATCATCGATTTAATTTTAATTTTTTTTTCTAAATTCGAATTAAATGTGTTTGTGTGTGCGTTTGTGTTTCATATCAATCAATGGGTGTGTCTCTTTTTTTTGTTCCTTTTCTCGCTATCTCTACAGATTTAATTTGATATAGTCATCGATGATGTAATAATTGTTAGCCATTGAATTTATTGATTTTTATGGTTTGAAAATTTTTTCTTTCTAATTGTTTCATCAGTTTTTTGTATGTGCTCAAGTGAATGTTGTTATATTGTGTTTATTGTTATTGATGTGTACTGTGTGTTTGTTTGTTTGTGTGTGTGTGATTACCACATTTCGTGTTCATTTGGCCAATTAGTTCATCATATTCTTATTCATCTGTACGAAACCTAAAATAGAATAAATAAAAAAAAAAAAAATGGAAACCTGCGTATTAATACCATCAGAATTTAGCCTAATGTTACGGCCAAAAGATTCCTATCTACATCTTATAAATGGATTGAAAAATATCAAAAGTCGACAACAAAATGCAACAGAAAAGAAAACAGAAACCGAATCCGGTGTTTGTGTTTACAGTAATCAATTAATACGTAAAGGTACCTGTTTCTTACCATTCCAAGGTACAATACGTTTGGATCGTCTAGAAGTTTATTCATTGCTCAATGATGATGATGTAAGTAGTAATAACATTATTGATTCATTCACTAATCATAATTTACTTGAAATAAAGAAAAAAAATTTGTACATTATTGCCTTTGTTTATATTTATAACATACACATAAACTAACGCAAAACAACTTGATTCATTTCAAACTTTTTTTTTCGGCTAAATTACTTTATGATGTAGTAATATTTATATATTTTCCATTGATTCTTGATTTTTGTTGTTGTTGTTGTTGTTGTTTTGAATGCAATGGATCCATTCATTGAATCCATTCTATTTCATTCATTCATTTATTTGAATAAAAATAGCGGCATTTTTTGTTTGAATTCAAGAATATTTGTTTGCATATTTTTTTTTACTCCATATTTTTTCCATTGATAATGATCATTATTATCATCATTAATCGATCAACAACAACAAAAACAACAGAATGATCTGGAAATTTCAACAAACATATGGTATATTGAGTGTGTAGGGGTTAATTTTAAGGCCACACACACACACACACACACACACACACACACACACACACACAAGTTAATCGTAACTATTTTAACTAATAACAAAAAATAAGAAAAAATTTCTATTTTAATCCGAAATTGAAATTGAAAAAAATTATATTTTTTCGTCTCCTTAATTTATGTTATATATTATTGGTTCCGGCCAATCAAATAATTATCGAATGACAAATCTAATGCTAACAAATAAAAACCACACACACACACACACTCCGACAGAATCGAATGATTTTTCACTTTGATTGTTTTTTCTTTCCAATTGCCACACATCATGTAATCGATAGAATCGATGATGAGGATCGAATTATTACCCAATAAATGTACACACACACAGGACCAACTTATATAGAATAAATATTGCTTGTTGTTGTTGATGGTGGTGGTGGTGGTAGTGATGTTCATATGGTTGATTGTCGGAATTTGATCAAACACAAACATTGAATCGAAAAAAAAGAAAAAAAAATAACCATATCATCATTTGTGTACAAATGAACAAACATTCGTTGCCGTCAAAAGAGGAAGGAGGGAATAGAATTTTTTTCTGTGATTATCATTATGACGATGATGATGATAATTGACAGCAAACACTGGAACTACTACTAACTAGAGCGAATGAAAAAAAAAATTCAAAGTTCAAAATGTTTAGTTTGTTCGTTAGTTAGTTAGTTAATTATCCATGATGATGATGATGATGATGATTGTATATATGAAAAATTTATAAGAATTCAATAAATAACCAAAATGTATGGTACGAAAATGTTCTTGTTGTTGCCATTGATTTGATGATAATGATCATTGATAATAATAATAATAATAATAAGCAGGTGTGTGTGTGTGTGAGCTACCGAAATTTACATCTGGACAATTACTAGTTATTCTTGTTGATGTTGTTATTCGAACAATTGTTGTTGTTGTACTCTATCGACAATTACAATACAGTGTGAAAGCAAGATGTTATTAAAAAAAATAATAATAACGATGATGTTGATGATGATGATGATGGTAGTAGAGATATGGAAAATGACAAGATTTTTTTTTCTTTTCTCTTTTTCTTTTATCAAATCAAATCAAATCGAATGAATTAATGGTATGATTCTGGTGATCAAAATAAGAGAAAAAAAACGAATAGAATAGTTATGATTATTGAATGAGAATGACAAACAACAAGTACAAGTTGGAATTTCTTTTTATTTTTTCATGTTTTTCTTATTTGTGATGAGATATAAAAAACACATACACACACACACACGCAATCGGACAATCGACCATTGCTATGGTTCTATTCACCAACAACAATATAATAATAGCAAAAACTAAACTAATGACTAACTAAAGAAAAAAAAAGTGAAATTTGTGAATAAAAAAAAAAATAAAATTTCAAAATATTCAATGTATAGTGGTGAAATGATGATGAAATAAAAGTAGAAGAAAAAAATGCATTCCCTTTTACCTTTTATTTTGGATGTTTTCACTTTTTTTTCTTCTTCTTCTTCTTTTCACTTTGTTTCCATCACTGGTGGAAAATGATTTTTCTCTTTTTTTTTAGAATTTGAATGTCATTTCGTAGTGTAATGAGTTGATGAAAATGTGAATCATTTTAAAAGATTTGAGTAAGCAAGTGAAGAGAAAACCTTTTTCCCATAAACTTTGACATTGAAAAAAACATCATCTTCAAATTTAAAGTGTGGCCAAATTTGAACGTTAAGTTTGATTTTTCTTTAGAATTTTTTTTTGTCATCTTCTTTATCATTAATTGACCAAAAAAAAATCCATGTTCACATCTTTTTTTTGTTGTTGTTGTTTTTGACATATGGATTCCTTTCGTTTATTTTTACTGTGATCAAGATCACACCAAGATCAAAATGACGATATAAAAATTGATCATGAAAATGTTAAAGTTTAAGAAAAAAAAATTTCTTTTTCCTCAGTATCTTCTTCTTAGCCCTTGAAAAAAATTTTTTTCTTTACCTTGAAGAAATCGAAAGAAAGAAAATTTCGTGCGTGAGAAATTTTAAGAAAAAAAAAATTTGCGTGTAATCTACAAGAAGCGAGGAATGAGGGGTAAGATGTTGTTGTCGTTGATGATGATGATGATGATGAAGATAGATTAGATTTTTCTTTTTATCTTTTCAATAGTGTTCACCTTGTTCATTATAATCATCATCCCTATTTTTTCATCCTCCTCCGCCCCCACGGTCAACAAAAAAAAAAAAAAAAAAATACTAAAAATTACACGCACACTTGGTGTGATGGTGGTGAATGAATATACTGGATATTTTTTTCAACAACACGGGTAGCCACTGGCTTCTGAAAGATAAAAGAAATAAAGAAAAAAAACCAGTTTCGTTTTTTTTTCGGGCGATGTTTTTTTGTGATGCTACCGAAATTATCTTTGAAAACCGAATAACAACAACGATTATAATGATGATGACAACGATGCTTTTGATAAAGAAAAAAAAATTGTCTTGGATTTTATGTTGTGTGTGTGTGTGTGTGTCCAGGCGATAAAATAAGTGGAGCCGTATTGGTGATCATCATCAGCATCACTAAATGATCATAGATGATATGATGTGATCATCATTATTTAAGATCAAAAATCAAATGATGATTTGTGTGTGAGTGTGTGTATGTGGCGGCAAATGTAAAAAATAAAAAAAAAATACTGACCACCAATCAAAATGTTCATGTTCATAATAATGATCATCGATGATGATAATTATCCGATATGATCCATATCCAGACATATATAATAATATCGATTGATCGATTGATCAATGGTGATATAAATAAATCTAGATTTAGAATTGAAAAAAAAAATTTTTCTTTGGTTGAATTTGACTGAAATTTTTTTTTTAAATAATAATCTCTCTTTTCATCTTTCTTCTCAAATTCGTTGTTGAATGTATGAAATTCATGTTGTTGTTGTTTTTTTGAAAATCTTTGAACAGATAATTATTGGTTTGTAAATGTGTAATCAAATACATTTCGATATCTGCTACTGTGTGTCATACATTTACTTGTCGTTTCCATAGATTATTGATAATTTCAAGTTTAATTTTGTTCTTTTTGGTTGTTGTTGTTGTTGTTGTTGTTGTTGTTGGTCAAAACTCATCATGGATTTGAACCGAATGGAATTTCATTTTTTTTTTGCTTTTCGTTTCTTATGTTTGATTGCAAACAAGTAAACAAAAAAAAAACGTGCATCATTAAATGACCATTGGTAAAATTGTAAGTAAAAAAATGGTCAAGCCCCTTTCTATCTGGGCATGGATTAATATTTGATGATGGAAAAAAACGAAAGAAACAACAACAAAAAAAATCCCAAACAATGCACATTCTATTTGAATTTGGCTAAAGTAAAAAATGAAACAGTAAAAAAAATGAACATCATCTTTCTTTCATTTTTTTATATATCATCACGAATTTTCATTGAAATTTTTCAATTCTAAAAAAAAAATTGATTTTCATAATTTTTTTTTTACTTGGCTGAAAACAAAAATCAAAAGAGGATTTAGCTAAAAAATGAATGAATGAATGAATGAATGATATACAAAGATGATAACGTGACCATTTGATAAAAAAAAACTGTTTGACCAGCTAGATTTCTTTTTTCTGCTGCTGCTGTTGTTGTGTGCGTTGTTGACAACATTATATATTCACAAAACAAAACAATATAACGGTGAATGAACAAAGAATGTTTTAATTTTTTTTTTCAGTAAGCTGTTAGCCAATCATCATCATCATCATCAACAGAAATAATTTCTTTGTTATAATCAAATTATGCATGTGTGTGTGTGTGTATTCATTCATTGTTTATTATACAAAAGTGTCTATAAACCACCACCATCATCATCATCAACATTATTTGATCATGATTATGATGATGATGATGATGAAGTGTTTGGCATATGTGTGTGGCAATTGTGTTTTTGGTGTGTGCATTACTTTTTTGTTTTGTTTGCATGTGTGTGTGTTTGTATGTGACGCCCAAAAATTAAACAAAATAATGAAAATTTTGTTTTGTTTTGATTACAAAGCACGAATGTGTGTGTGTGTGTTTGAATGCTTGTACGCATGCTTCTTTTTTTTCACACTATATTTTTATCAATAAATAAATAAATAAAAAAGAAATGTCATTTATTCATTTGTTTGTGTGTGTGTGTGTGATGAAATGTGATATTGTAATAATGTTCCAGTGATGATTATTGATGATGATGATGATGATGTTGATATTGTTATCGTTGTGGATGCGATTGAAATAGGCCACAATAAACTGACCAATAAGTGTGTGTGTGTGACACACAAACAAAACAATAGTGTTCTCGTTTTCGTTTTTTGTTGTTGTTGTTGTTATGAATCAACAAAAAAAAACGAAAACGAAACGAAACGATTTGAAAAAAATGTCATAATCATCAAAAAAAAATGATTTTCTTCTTTCTTCGAATAGTTCTTTGTTTATTTGTTTTTTTTTTTCATCGAGAAAAAAAATAC